TATCAAAGAACCCCAAGAATTCAATTTTTGATGAAATCAAACAAAGTTTAATTTTGGACCCTTTTGACCTCAATGTGGACAAAGTTGATAACGGGGCCCAAAAATCAAAATACATGGTTAGATTCAGCATATCAAAGAACCCCATATATTCAATTTTTGTTGAAATCAAACGAAGTTTAATTTTGGACCCCGATTTGGATCAACTTGAAAACTGGGCCCATAATCAAAAATCTAAATACATGTTTAGATTCAGCATATCAAAGAACCCTAAGAATTCAATTTTTGTTAAAATCAAACTAAGTTTAATTTTGGACCCTTTGGACCTTAATGTAGACCAATTTGAAAACGGAACCAAAAACTAAGAATCTAAATACACGGTTAGATTCGGCATATCAAAGAACCCCAATAATTCAATTTTTGATAAAATCAAACAAAGTTTAATTTTGGACCCTTTGGACCTCAATGTGGACCAATTTAAAAACGGGGCCCAAAATCCAAAAACTAAATACACGGTTAGATTCAGCATATTAAAGAACCCCAAGAATTCAAGAATAAAACCCCATTGAAATTGGTCAAGAAATAAGCAATTTATACGAAGTATCTTCTTTTGCACAATACTGTGCAATTAAATATTTCTTGCTATTGCGCAATACTGTACAATTGACAATTTCTTGCTATTGCGCAATATTGTGCTATTGGATATTTCTTGCTATTGCGCAATACTGTGCAATTGAAGATTTCTTGCTATTGCGCAATACTGTGCAATTGAAGATTTCTTGCTATTGTGCAATACTGTGCAATTGAAAATTTCTTACTATTGCACAATACTTATTATATAATAATTTACACATCCTGTTTGGTGTGTATCTCCTACCATATCATTATTATTTGCTTTTAAATATAAATCAGAAATAACCAACTTAAAATGGAAAATTTTAAAAGAAAAAAAAAAGCAAAAAAAAAAAATCCCCTCCCCCCCAATTTTTTGAACCCCCTTATGATTCATCACCCCCAAACTCAATCCCAGCCTTCCTTTTGTGGTATGGTACCTTGCAGTACAATTTCAGAAAGATCCATACACTTGAACACAAGTTATGTCTGGAAACTAGAAAAATGTGTTTTTTGGCCCCTTTTTGGCCCCAAATTCCTAAACCTTTAGGGCAATTACCCCCAAACTCAAACCCAGCTTTCCCTTTGTGATATGGAACCTTGTAGTACAATTTCAGAAAGATCCATACACTTACACACAAGTTATTGTCCTGAAACTAGAAAAATGCTTGTTTTTTGCCCCTTTTTGGCCCCTAATTCATAAAATATTGAGGCAATTACCCCCATCATCAATCCCAGCCTTCCCTTTGTGGTATGGTACCTTGCAGCACAATTTCAGAGAGATCCATACACTTGAACACAAGTTATTGTCTGGAAACTAGAAAAATGTGTTTTTTGGCCCCTTTTTGGCCCCCAATTCCTAAACGTTTCGGCAATTACCCCCAAACACAATTCCAGCTTTCCCTTTGTAATATGGACCCTTGTAGTACAATTTCAGAAAGATCCATACACTAACACAAGTTATTGTCATGAAACTAGAAAAATGCTTGTTTTTTGCCCCTTTTTTGGCCCCTAATTCCTAAAATTTTGAGGCAATTACCCCCAAAATCAATCCCAGCATTCCTTTTGTGATATGGAACCTTGTGATACAATGTCAGAGAGATCCATACACTAACACACAAGTAATGTCTGGAAGTTACAAAAATGCTTATTTTTGGCCCCTTTTTGGCCCCTAAATCCTTTACTGTTGGTACCATAACCCCCAAAATCAATCCCAACCTTCCTTTTGTGGTATTGAACCTTGTGGTAAAATTTCATAGAGATCCATTCACTTAAACTAAAGTTAGAGTGCGAAAACCAATGTGTCTTCGGACGATGCCGGACGACGCTGACGACGACGCCAACGTCATACCAATATACGACCACAAAAATTTTTTTGCGGTCGTATAAAAATTCAGCATTTTTTCTATTTGTAAACAAGCATAACTCTAGAACGGTTGTGTATAAGTTTTATAACATTTGGTTGAGACAAACTAAAGTTAGAGAACAGAAACGAAAAATTCAGCAATTTTTATGTTTATAAAGGGACATAACTCAAGAATGGAAAAAGTGACGCCACCAAATTTCGTACTTAATCTGTATTATGTAGTAATAAGCATTGTGTATAAGTTTCATAACATTTGGTTGAGGCAAACTAAAGTTAGAAAACGGAAACAAAAAATTTGTACTTGATCTTAGTTTTGTGGTACATGTAATGAATATTGTGTATAGGTTTCATAATGTTTGGTTGGGGCAAACTTAATTTACAGAATGGAAACTAAAAATTTTGCAATCTTTCGATTTTTAAAGGGGTATTACTCAATAATGGTTAAAGTGACACTACCCAAATTCAACTTGATCTGTGTTTTATCAGTGGAAGTCAAAATAAAACATTGCATTGTATAAAGCATTGATTGTAGATGATTCAACTATAATCATGGACAAAGGAAGATAACTCCAATTTTAAAAATTACTTGATATTTAGAAGAAAATAAAAATTTTGCAATTTTTCCATTTATAAAGGGCATAACTCTAGAAAGGTTAAAGTGAAGCCACCAAAATTCAAACTTGATCTGTGTTTTGTGGTAATAAGCATTGTGTATAAGTTTCATAACTTTTGGTTGAGGCAAACTTAAGTTAGAGAACGGAAACTAAAAATTTTGCAATTTTTCCATTTATAAAGGGGCATTACTCTAGAACGGTTAAAGTGACGCCACCAAAATTCAAACTTGATCTGTGTTTTGTGGTAATAAGCATTTTGTATAAGTTTCATAACTTTTGGTTGAGGCAAACTTAAGTTAGAGAATGGCAACTAAAAATTTGGCAATTTTTCCATTTATAAAGGGACATAACTCTAGAACGGTTTAAGTGACACCACCAAAATTCAAACTTGATCTGTGTTTTGTGGTAATAAGCATTGTGTATAAGTTTCATAACATTTGGTTGAGGCAAACACAAGTTAGAGAACGGAAACTAAAAATTTTGCAATTTTTCCATTTATAAAGGGCATTACTCTAGAACGGTTAAAGTGACGCCACCAAAATTCAAACTTGATCTGTGTTTTGTGGTAATAAGCATTGTGTATAAGTTTCATAACATTTGGTTGAGGCAAACTAAAGTTAGAAAACGGAAACAAAAAATTTGTACTTGATCTTAGTTTTGTGGTACATGTAATGAATATTGTGTATAGGTTTCATAATGTTTGGTTGGGGCAAACTTAATTTACAGAATGGAAACTAAAAATTTTGCAATCTTTCGATTTTTAAAGGGGTATTACTCAATAATGGTTAAAGTGACACTACCCAAATTCAACTTGATCTGTGTTTTATCAGTGGAAGTCAAAATTAAACATTGCATTGTATAAAGCATTGATTGTAGATGATTCAACTATAATCAAGGACAAGGGAAGATAACTCCAATTTTAAAAATTACTTGATATTTAGAAGAAAATAAAAATTTTGCAATTTTTCCATTTATAAAGGGCATAACTCTAGAAAGGTTAAAGTGATGCCACCAAAATTCCAACTTGATCTGTGTTTTGTGGTTATAAGCATTGTGTATAAGTTTCATAACTTTTGGTTGAGGCAAACCTAAGTTAGAGAACGGAAACATTTGGTTGAGGCAAACTCAAGTTAGAGAACGGAAACTAAAAATTTTGCAATTTTTCCATTTATAAAGGGCACAACTCTAGAACGGTTAAAGTGACGCCACCAAAATTCAAACTTGATCTGTGTTTTGTGGTAATAAGCATTGTGTATAAGTTTCATAATATTTGGTTGAGGCAAACTCAAGTTAGAGAACGGAAACCAATTTTGGGACGTACAGACGGAAGTACGTACAGACGGACAAGGGTAAAACTTAATTCCCCCTCTGCTACATCGGAGGCATAAAAATATATCAATTAATATCAATTAATTTTAACAAAAGATTTTATTTTCTTCAGCTTTAAACAAGGTCTTGTAGGTCATTCTGTAAGTATCTTTTTGTGGGTTTATAATAGGTAATCATCATTAAATTGTCTTTTGAGTGACTTATAATAGTAAAACTCAAGTGTAAAAGATACTGGCAAAAAAAAATTCACTGAGCTTTTTCACAACTCAAAATACTTTAACCAGTAGAATACAATCATGATATTTTACAACAGACAAATATCCAGACACAGTACACACACATTTGGTCACATGGATATACAACATGAATGAAAGGTGATAAGCTGTCTACTACACAATTATCTAAAAACAAGGAATTATTTGAATCTGGAATAATTATGAATTCTGGAAAATTTATTACAAATGTATGATGAAAACTATCCCAACTAAATAGGGTTAGCCATGCGCGCATGGCTAAGGTTAATTTTAATTTCACTATCATTTCAGTATGAACTAACTAACCCCCCTTAGCCATGCGCGCATGGCTAACCCTATTTAGTTGGGTTAGTTTTCATCATAAATTACTCATCAATTTTCCAGAATTCAAAATTATTCCAGATCCAAATAATTCCTTGTTTAAACTGGTTTCCTACATGAAATGCTGGACATTGGGGTAACAGATTTGAGATCAGAAAACACTGTTCATTCGGATTCTATTTCACAACTCTATTCTACACATCAAACAGAATCAGAATAAACATTGCCACTTTGGTTTTTTTTGTTGTTGCAGTCTTGTTGCTGTCTTTTGGGTATTGGAGGATTTTCAAATGCTAATACAGAGAATTACCAATGCAGAAATACAATACTGGTATTCTCTGTTTATTTCAAAGTTTAAAAGATGACAGGAATGACAGGAATTTTCCTATCCACCATCCAAAATATGTTTAAAATCTGTTTTAAAGTCTATTTTACTGAGCATCTATATCTACACTTTTTGTGTGACATGTTGCTAAATGTAGACAGATCATAAGTTTTCTGACATACCTCCTCACGTTCTCTTTCCTCTGCCTCTTGTCTTTCCCTCTCTAATCTCTCCTCCTCTTCCTGAAAAATATCAATTAAAAATTTATGCCTCCCACTCTTTTGACAATAAAAAAGAATTATGTAGGAAATTTTTGCTTGGGTTTCAACTTAGTTTTGCTCAATCTTTAATGTTTTTGTTTTTGTTTGTCTCTTAATCTTTTTTTTTTTTTTTTAAATGGTGTTGTCCGTCTTTCTTTCATTTATGGAATTTCCTTTTTATATATTTCTCATCCCTTTTTTAGTACATGCATAGTTTTGCAAAATTTTGTTTTTGTATGATGGTGGTTTAGAAAATTAATTACGAATAGATTTTACTGATTGAGTTTAAGGCCCCTTTCTTTAAATACTCTAATTTCCTACAGTTTCAAAGCAGTTATCAGAATTATTGGAATATCCCTAACCTTCAACGAGTACCTGACAAACCTAAGAAACCTTCATCAAACATTGATTAGAGCACTTATTTAGACAAACAAGAGTGATAGTCAAATATAAAAATAAGAAGATGTGGTATAATTGCCAATCAGACAACTCTCCACCAGAGACCAAATGACATAGAAATTAATAACTATAGCCAATTCAATTCAATTACTTGAGAAATTGTAATTAATTACGGTCAATTACAATTACATATTTCAATTACCCCATGTCTGTCTATAGGTCACTGTACGGTCTTCAACAATGAGCAAAACCCATACCGCATAGTCAGCTATAAAAGGCCCCAAAATGACAAACCTACTTTAATTGTGATTGGCTAATATTACATGGTCAACTACCTACTAAACAACTCAGCTACAGATATTCAAGTTTAGAAAGAACGACTTCATAATGCAGTATTAACTTACCTTGCAAGAGAATATAATCTCTAAATAAGTAATATATAATCTCTAAACAAATATAAAATGAACTCATCTTTTCACTTCTTCAGATTGTCATTTAACCTTACCGATTTTGCAGAACTTCTCCGTCGCCAACTGTCTGGCCGAGGTTGCTGATCAGACTGATTTTCCTAAGAACAATTACATGCACATGCTTTTATTATATAATGAAAACACTCATTCAAATTACAGAAACAAATTGTTTTTTTCAGCATTAGAATGTTATTACAACAGTGACGATTATCTATCTTCGTGATTTAAATGAGAAATTCACACTGGGTGTAAATAGGATTTACATGCTATTACAAAAGTCAGGATTCAAACTTAATAGTTTTAACAGAAAATAATATACATGCCATCTTATTACCCATACAAATGCACCTGAAATGAATAACATGACTGCTTATTTTGTATGGAGTATGATTTCTATATTAACAGTTAATTCTTTCGTCCTACAATGAAATGAAATTGTCCAAATTAATTGTGTTTTATTTGAAAGGAACACATTTTTCTAATTCAATTCAAATTTGCCAGATCAGCATTTAATTGAATTCAGCACTTAAAACAAATTAGTTTTTTATATTGAAGACTTTTTATATCAAATATCTTGATCAAATTTTAAATCTATATTGTCCTTAATAAGAATAATTCTTACTTTATTACTTTCAACTGAGGAAGTAGACAATGGTCTTGTTCTAGATTCTGACACTGCAGGAAGTGCAGATACTGTTTCCACGGAAGAATGTGATTTATGAAGCCAACGTTCGGTAACTCTAGGAACTGAATGTCTATTTGTAGTTCTTTGTTCTGGAATATCACTTGTATTGACTGATTCTTCAGTATTCTGTGACCACTGACGTTTTAGCGAGGACATATCTTTATTTGTTTGGATGGGTAATGTAGCACTTTTAACAATCTTATCCGGTTTTTCATTTCTATTATGGTCAAACTTTGATGTCAATCGTTCTATCTTATCTCCCTTTTTATTTAAATCGTACTCAACACTGATACTCATAGACTTAGATAACCATGACTGAGTTTTTGATGGAGTTTTCTTAGTTTCTACTGCTGACTGCCAGCGATCTAAGATATGTTTCTTGTTGTCTTTCTCCGAGATAGGCTTTTCCTAAACAGTGTATAAATAACCAAAAATCAAAACTCACAATCTTTATTTTTTAAATGTTTGAAATCTAGTTAAATCTAAGATATTTTTTTCAATGTGTTATTGTTTGAAATCTAGTTAAATCTAAGATATTTTTTTCAACGTGTTAATTTTTATCTAGGAATCGGAAGTTAATGATACATTTATATGCTTCTAGCTTTTACACTTTTTAATCTCAATAATTTATAAGTTTAAATGAAGATGCATTTAAAGGAGCAAAATCAGTACACTCTAAACTTATTACTACCACCACTTTAGGCTATTGACCTTTTATAATTTTTTAGATTCATTTTTCTCCTCTTTTGATGACACAGCTCCTAATGAATTTAGTCATCTTTTATTGGTTGCTATTACTGTAAGTCACCAAGAGTATCATTTTCCTATCAGCCAATGTTTCAACATCAACCAAGATAATGTACACGTTATAAATTCATAACTCATAAACTATCAAATCAAGTAATCAAATAAACTGGTGCAAATCCCTCAGGCAAATTTGACCTGTTATGATTTTGTAGATTCAAATTTTACACCTCTTTCAGTTATACAATGACCAATGAGTTTAGCTGTCTTTAACTATTCAAGTGTTTAGCTCTGAGCATTCCTAATGAAGGATAATTCAAAAATGAACAAAGCTGGTACACTTTTCTTTGATTTAGAATGCAGACCGTGCATTTCTATTTTTTTTTATCCACAATTAGTAATTAAACAATATTTTTTCTTTGATTTATTTACATATTTTTTGTTTAGCTTTATTTTCATCTCACAGAGGACTGTCATCAAAATTAATATTCATAATTAATTAAAGTTTCATGTCTTACATTTAAATAACTCTCACTAGCACTGAATCTTCCTAAGCGACTACTTGAATTTTCTGTGTTAGTTTTATCTTCAAACTGAAAACACAACAGCGATACAGAAATTGAATTTTTGGTCAGACCCAACAAAAATATATATTATATAAAAATCTTGCCTAGAAATATAAACACTTGTAACTGTTCTTTATATATTATTTTTTCCAAGTCAATGTATTATATTTTAAAACAATATAGTCATTGAAAAATATCTATTAACAAAAAAATGTAATACTTAAAGTGTTTGATATTCCTTGGTTTAACTTTTTCTTTCTTTTTTTCATTGAATGTTTGGTTACTGACTATGTGTGTTTATTTTTACTTAATTCTTGTAAAAATCACTCTTCTTGAAAAGTTTAATAACTTTGCCATCACCCTGTTCACTCCCAAAAATAATGTAAATGATAGTGATGTTGCTTACTTTCTTTTGGATATCTTTGAGTCTAGAAGCACCAGGGGAGATAACTTTGGCTTGGTAAGCAGCCAAATCTTTTTTAGTTTCCTAGAATATTACCATTGTATGTTTAATGACATAAAAAGTGTAGTGCTAGAATAAAGTGACAGATGAAGTGTATGCATCATATTTTAAAATTGTCAAATTAACCATTTCAAAAATACGAAATTATGTAATCAAATTCGATATTAGGCTAAAACTTTACAAAACTGTAAAAAATTTAATTTTAAAACAAATTATCAAACTATCTTTTATAAATGTCTAAATTTCTTACTGAAAACTTATGACTTAAAAATATACTGATAATTCCTTCCAATTTTCTTTTGTTATTTAAATACCTGCTGTAAGTCTTTTGTTTGCTGATTAATTTCAAATTTCTTCCATTTTTCATGCACTGGGGATTTGTCTTCCAAAGTTGCATGTCCTGTCTACATTAAATTAAAGTAACTTCCATTTATAATGCATCTTTTTTTAACTGATCTCTCTCTTTAAAAATTCAGTGTAAAATAAGCAAGGACTATTTTTTTTAAAATAAGTATTTCATTTTTTTTAAAAATTTTGCTGTCTTTAAGGCCAAAATATTTTACTTTTCCACATCAACTTTTAAGCATCTATGAAGAAACTGCTGACTTTGACAAAAATCAAGTTTAATTATTGATATCAATTTTATAACCTCTTTTATATAAATAACTTACTGATTTTTTACTAAAATTCAGACTCCTAGACAATTCATTATGATCCCCATTCACAAGACCTTCAACTTTTTCTTCAAAAAATGTCTTTAATTTTCCACATTTTCCATCTTCCCCCGTTCGTAATGAATATTCAGTAAGTGAACGCCTAACTGGTTCCTTGGGTGATAAAATTTTTCCTCGTTCATCAGACTTCCTATGAACATGAGTAACACCATTAGTAGTCCCATTCCAGCCTTCTTCCTCCAGTAACAAATCATTTTCTTTGTCTAAGTTTTTTAGTCTCATTAGTTGTTCGTCAATCTTTCGTTCATGATCATCTTGTTCTTTTTGTTGAGCACGAGCTCTCTCATCATCCATATCTGATTCAGAATCTGTCTCTTCACTGCTTTCTTCTTCCTATTTTCAACACATGCAAAAATCAACAAACCATGCAAAATCAACACACAAAACGGCTATGTATTGTTTATACTTTAATTTAAAAAAATTTTTCATGCAATTAATTCCAAAGAGGGATATTTTCTGGGGTTTTTTTCCATTCTGAAGGATATTTTTTCTTCATACAAGGTTATACAAATGTACAATATTGTTCAAATAATGCATTCATAACAAAATACAACACATGCTATTGATAAAAGATTACTGTAAATGCTACCTACCTTATCCAGCACATCATCTTTCATTCTAGATTTCTATTGTTACCTCCCTTGACTAGCACTTTGTACCTTTCTAATCTCTTTATAGAAGCTGTTATCATCTTTTACCCTCATTGCCTTCATTACTACATTTACTTTCCAAAATAACCCAAGGCTCATCTACTCCATATGTATTAAGGAGATGTGGTATGATTGCGAATGAGACAACTCTCCACCAGAGACCAAAGGACGAGGATGTTAACGTCTATAAGGCACTTTATGGCCTTCAATAACTTTTTACATATCCCGAACCCATTAACCTACCCTTTTCCTTCTATCCTCTTCTTCTCTCTGTCTCCTTTCTTCGTCCTCTCGTCGCCTTCTATCTTCCTCCTCTTGTTGCCTACGTCTTGCCTCTTCTGCTGCCTGTCTCTGTCTCTCAGCTTCTTCCTCTTCTTCCCGTCGACGACTTTCTTCCTCTTCGGCGTTGTTGTTTACCTGGGGTTGTGATTCTGGTTCTGGTTCTGGAACTGAGACTGGTGCACTGTCAGTTTCCTGTTTAAAAATTGATAACAATTAATATAATTATAATGCCACTTTTACTTAAATGAATGGTTTTATAGCTCTAATGAGTCTAAATGATAAGTTTATAGACTTTTTGAGAGATAAATGCCAGGTGAGACTAGCCACATAGGACAGAAACTCATTTTTTACTGCAAGTGTAGTGCAATATTCATGCTTACTTTATTATATATGAACTCTTTCATAATATAACTTTACTATAGAAAATAAAAATAGTCTCTCTGAAATATACCCAGTTGTGTGTGCTTGTTTTATAAAGTATATCTATGTTGCTTGATAAAATTTCTAGATATATGCATCCGTATCAAAATAGTGGCGAATCTTAACCTATACTCTTTATAGTTTTGACAATGACTTCAACATACTATTTCAATCAAATTGTGATGTTTTTTGTGTGGATAGCAATATTACCTTAATCAAATTGATATTTCTGATATACTAGTGAACATAGTTTTAGCAGACATATAATACCCTTTTTCTAAAACAAATAATTTTACATTGAAGCATTTGGAGAAGCACACTGAAGCATTTCCCTATTAAACATGGCATATTTATAAAATAAAAGTGCATTATAAATTAACTATGCAGAATGCTGTACCTACATTTTCATGCAATATTTCTAAATGATAATAATAATTATGCTAAATCATTTGCTGTATAAAATCATCACATCTGTGAATGAATAAGTTTAAATTATAAGGCCTAAGAACTAAGAAACATTGACATCTAAAATATACTATTAAGAACTGGAAATTTGCTTCCCATTTCATATATATCACTATTTTCTACCTTGACACTCACTGAACATATTTTCAATTCAGTAAATGCATCTCATGCAGTTTAAGAAAATATGCATTCATTAGAAAAATTTCGGTAAAATCTAAATTCCACCTCATGAATCAAGACTGAAATTTTGTTTGGGTCAAAACAGTGAATGAAAAAATGAACACAATTGTACACTAAAGATAGAAAGGAATGACTTGACAGAAAGTGATTTGGAACTGGAAGATGAAAAGTCTAGGACAGTTTCAATTTGGCTGTTTGAAAATTTAATTTGGAAGGAATGGGAGGTCATTATTAAATAAAACTCATTAAAGAATTGATCATTGCTGCTGATCATCTGGCTGTAAGGTCTAGGTTAGTAATACATATGTTATGACATTTATCCATGGCAACAGGTTCTATCTAAATGTTTACCTCCTCTTCACCCCGTCGTCTACGTGAGCGTGTACTTGTTACTTCCTGTTAATGAACACACATGAAGACACACAATGAACATGAATTTGAAAACAACAAAACATGAACCAGTTTTTACATTTTATCATATCTATTATATTTATAAATTGTAAGGACTGTAACACAGTGGTGGATTCAACATTGTTATTTAAGGGTGATCCATATGGCAAAGAGCCTAGAGAGACAAACATGTTTTGTTTTTTTAGTATATATTGATGGAAAATCATCATATTTTTCATACAGATCAAATTTGTCATCTTCAAGTAAAAAAAACAGAAAATACTCTGATTTTCATAAATGTTTATTTCAGGAGGGGCTATAAAAAATGAAAACAACATGTAATTAATTTCATGCGTCCAAAGCGCTTTTCTGGATTTACCTTCATTAGGAATGCTCAAAGCCTAGTATTTGAAAGCCAATGAATGTATAAGAACCAAAACATTTGAAGAGCTAATAACCAAAAAATACATAATAAATGGAGAATGTATCTATGGGCCAAAGATGCCCCCGCTTGTAAATATGCATGAATCAACTTCCACATACAGAGGCAGGATTCACATAGTTAAGACTGTTTTGTGATTATAAGCATTGTGTATAAGTTTCATAACATTTGGTTGAGGCAAACTAAAGCTAGAGAAGGAAACGACAGAATTAGCAATTTTTCCATTTATAAAGGGCATAACTCAGTACGGTAAAAGTGATGCCACCAAATTTCAAACTTGATCTATGTTTTGTGGTAATAAGGATTGTGTATAAGTTTCATAACATTTGGTTGAGGCAAACTAAAGTTAGAGAACGGAAACGAAAAATTCAGCAATTATTTTATGTTTATAAAGGGCATTACTCTTGAACAGTGAAAGTTACGCCAACCAATTTTGAACTTGATCTGTGTTTTGTGGTAATAAGCATTGTGTATAACATTTGGTAGAGGCAAACAAAAGTTAGAGAAGGGAAACCAATTTTGGGGACATACGGACGGACAGACAGGACAGACAAGGGTAACACTTAATGCCCCCTCCGCTACAAGGAGGGCATAAAAATAGCCAAATCCATCTAAGGCCAACTTATAAAACTTAAAACCTCCTTTGCCCTACCACTTTTGAAACGTAAAGGTTATTTTCTAATAGGGAGGTATTCAAGGGAAAACTTTTATGATGTAGACAAATATTCACCCAACAAAAGAGATAACATAACACACTACAAATAAAAACAGGTTTCCTGGGTTGTTCCTTTGTTTTTATGTAACAGTCCCTATTCTAGAAAATTTCACTTATTTATAACAGTATACCTTTTTCCTATTTAGATTTTTTACCTTACCTATATTTAACATGCTTTCAACATAGTTATATAAATTTTATGAAACATAATTTCATGATAAGTACTACTATGGGAGTGTATAAAGACCTTGACAGGCTATAAAGCCCTCGCATGGTCGGTGAATAAAAAGGTAGACGGTCTTTTGCCATCTTAGATCGAAAATTACCACAGATGATTGGTTGAAATTTTTTATAATAAATAGCAATTTTTGAAGAAATGAAATTTATATGCCATATTTTTTATTTGAATAACTCAATCTATATCATTTTGTCTGATCTTAGTATCTTTTTGTACAAATACAAAAAAATTTCAGATTTAATCTTCTTCTTTTTTCCTAAAATGCTTTAGAAGGGGAGATAACTTAGATGATTTCAGAATGTGTAGTAGCAAGAAAACATGTTAAATTCACTTCATTTTCTGAAAACTTTATATAAGAGGTACTTGCTCAAATTTTATTTTAAGGTTCAGTCAAATAGATTTCCTAGTAGTCATGTAACAGTTTTTGTTGATGTTTTATTCTGAAAAATATGGGAACTTGCACAGCATGTAAAATAAGATGATGAAATAGTCTATAATGAGAATGATATGATATAATAATTTTTTTTCTACTCCTAATATTCTAATTATGATTTCACAAATGAATTCATATCTATGCTGTGTAAAACTCCGGTTTTTATTGTCTAAATTCTTGCATTTATAGATAAAAAAATTTATAAATACTTTGCAAGTGATAAAGGTAATTTTTTTTTATCTAAAGCGAGTGCCGTGACCTAATGTTTTTAACTTATGTTTTGAAAAAAAGTCTTTATGAAGGTAGTGTATAACACAAAATGTCATACATTGTGACTTCTGAGTAGAAAATTTGGAAAAAGATTAAATAAAGTGTATATAAACACTATAAAGATATATATTGTAAGGTCATGATTTGATTTTCACCTGGTAAACTAACTTATAGCTTAGTACAAGTAACTGTGATCACTATCTATTATTGTTTTTCATTTTGTAGGTTTTTTTGAAGGGGGTTTGAATTCTCGTTAAACTCCTTTTATTTCCCAAAGTTTAAGGGACTGTTAAATGGTCTGTAAGTTTGCAATGATATCTTACTTCTGTGGCTGATGTGTCTATTTCGTCCTCTGTGCCACGCCTTCTTCTGCTTCGGCGTGAGGAAGTGTCTTCTGAGGGGGTTTCTGTCTCACCAGATCTAAAAAAAATAAGCTATAAAATTAAAACTTTATAAATAATTTCATTTCAATCAATCAGTGCAATTATTTGCGGGTTTAATATAATTCACAGCAAATAATCTTTTATTTGGCATTTTTTTTTTATAAACATGCAAATGATAATAAAAAAAATCACTGCAATTTAGAAAAAATCTCACTAAAATCAACTTTGTATGCCTTAGTCAGCTTCGAATTTAGCAGTCAATTTTGGTAATTATTTCATTTCAAAATAATAAGATGTATATGTCTCGATTGATACAAACAAAATTATAAAATAGATTTCCAGTCACCAAATACTATTTGCATAAAGTGTCAATTTTGTAATATTTTCACCAGCTGGCAAACATTATGCTGATGGATTTGACTAAAACATACATAACTGACAAAGAAGATGCTTAACGAGGGGAAAATAAAACTGTATTAGGATTGATGGTTGAATGTCTGAAGTATGAAAAACTAGGATGTCAAACAACATGCAGTGATGAACTATACACACATTGTGTAAACGTTTTCTTTTGTATCAAGATCCTTTCGCCTTTCTCTAACACAGTAATTGCCACATGTTTTATATTTGCAAAATAGCTGGAGTTTCAAAAATTGTGTGACAGAGTTCAACTTTTGTTTTCTGTAAAATATCTTACCCTGATTACACATTGTCTTTTAAAACATATAATTACAATGCATTTATACACTACAACATCAAGTCTTGCCTTAATCTTTGTTCCCGACGTTCCTTGCGACGACGTTCTAATTCATCTTCTCCATTTATTGTACTAAAACCGGCAGCTCTGAATTAGTGGTGAAAAAAGACACTCTGTTAAATTAAAACTCAAACAAAGGTATTCAAACAAAACATTCTAAAGGAATCAAACCATGGAAGCTTCAAGTTTGTTACAAAACTTAATGTAAGAAGGGAGATAACTCTGAATTATTTACATGAATTCAAGGCAACTTGGAGCTTCCATATATAATAAAAATTTCAGGTGTGAATTCAAGTCATGAGAATTTCAATATTTGATGCAATTTCAAAAATGTATAATTATTAATTTGCATCAGTTCTTGATCATTGTAATCCTACATGACTTGTAATTTTTCACAACTGAAATACTGAAAAACAGAAATTTTGTAATTAATCCACTCTAAAAATGTCCATGCAAAAAGAAAAAGGTTATAATTTAAAACTTATCATATTCTATCAAATGTCATTTCAATCAATTTTGTATGAGCTCAAATAACACTTATATTTCACACATAAACATGAAAGATATAAAATAATATAATGAATTACAGTCACATGTAAAATATGTAAATGGCAATGATTATTATTTTCAGTTGTTGTTGTTATTGTTTTTGTTGGGTTTTTTTTTTTGGAAAAAGGGGGTTAAGTGTTGTAATGGTAAATAAATACAAACAAGTACTTATGTTGGCACGTTAGAAACATGAACCACCTGTTTTAATTATAGGGCAGAATATTCTACAAAACACAAAAACCAATTCTTAAAACAAAAATGAAGTGTGTAGGAGGACGCTCACGATTTTTACAACATTATATGTAAATATTTGCTATCTTAATTCAAAACTTGTGATATACTTTATACTATGCTATCATTAGTTTTGTTATTCTCTTGTTTTTGCCACAATCACAACACACACATTAACTGATGGTATTTTATCAAACAGAATGCAAGATCAGCAGAATTATCTTGTCTGGAATATTGGCATCAGTCCAAGCCTGTTTGTCTGCTCACGATTCCTCCATATTGATTCTATTTGCATCACTGCTATATTACATCCCAATAACACTATACTGAGGTCCTCAGTACTAATAACAATATATCAGATCATATTTCTGGGGAAATTAGCTATCACTGCATATGTTTCTGGTTTCCATGGTAACAAAAATTCCACACTTATAAATAGACACAGGTTATATCCTTTTTTGTCACAAATCAATGGTATACACATAATATCTCCCAAGTAAACAACACGGTTATGATGAATTAATGTTGTCATAACATGCCAATGTACATGAGATTTCTTATAAATCCTGCAGCACAATAAATATCCACAAGTTTTTAATCATATGATTTACATTTTATATTTTCTTATCTAGAAAGCAATAATTCTACTAATGATAGCATAGTATATAACAAGTTTATTATGTTTGAAGAATCACTGCTACTGCAAAAAAAATGACATAAATCTTTGTAAATTGCCTGAAAAACTCTTTCTATCAACCTTCTTACTTGGAATATTTGCATAAAATCAATTTCAAATGTCTACTGTTTCCTTTAAATTTATTTTAATGAAAATTTCCCCTTCCTACTGAGCTTGTAATCAATTTAAATATTAAAACATACATGCAGATTTAAAATATCATATACTACATGAGAAAAGTAAACAAATCACCAAATAAAAATATAAGAAAATGATACATAAATAAAAACCTACCAGTACTTGCAAAAATATTATAAAATAAAAAGAATATTTAAAAAAAACATAAAACATTTAATATGAACAAGACCCTTGACAAATATGTTGTAAAACTAGGGCTAGTCTTAAGTCACCCAAAGAAACAACAATAAAGAAGACAAAACAAAGCACCATTGAAGCATTCTCATGCTAATGCGATTCTATAACTTTTCTAAATCAGACCAAAGTTAAAAATGAAACTAGACCTGACCAAAGGAATGTTTCTGTTGTATTTAAATTTGAAAGGTATACCCTTGGTCAACAGCTTGACTGAATAAGAACATAATATACTGTCTACACAGGGTCCAATGCATTCTCATTCATTTTCACAGCAAAGAATAGAAATATTAGACTCTGATGTGCTGACATAATGTACTGTCAAATATTAAATTCAGATTAAATAAAAGTGGAAAGGATGGGTTATCAGGATTTATATATATGACGAGTATGTCTATCAAATATAGCATTTCTATCAACTTTTTATCCTTTTAAAATGTTTTAAACCATTTAAAGTGAAAAAAATATTCTTTATATTAGAAATGAACATCAAAATATGTAAGACTGTGCAATTTTTATGACACAACTAAAGATATTTGGACAAGTAGTATTTATAAAGCCTGTATTCATTGAGAAGTTATTTTTAAAATTTTTTTATAAAAATGATTAGTCTTGTTGGCATGAATGATGTAAATATGTCCTTGTACATGTATCGAATTGGCAAAATAAATCTCTGAGACATGAACCAAATTGAAATTTAAAAATTTTGAAGCATTGTAAGTATTTACCAGTAATTATGTAAAATGATTTAAGATGCAGCAGAAAGTATATATATTTACTAAATGAAACCTTCAGGTATCCACAGTGACTAGGGGAATATATTAATTGACTTTTAGTTACAAAGTTTGTTTTAATTTCCTCTTTTCCGATGGGACTTTTTCTGAATAAATGGGACTATGGCCGGAGTTCAAATATTTGATTACTAAAAGAAAGAAAATTCCTAATAAAAAAAAGAATGTAGAGCTAATGTCAGTCATCTACTGAGTATCATTTTAGTCATTCATAGTGGACTACTGTAGCTAAGGCTCTATATAGATACCAGCAGAAATAGTGCACCTCAAATAATGTACCTCAAATAATGTACCTCAAACTTAGATGTAATCCACAATGTTCTTCAGCTTTTTCTATTCTAATATAAAATATGGAACTTGAACAAGAGTGAACATAGACACATGTGATAGGTAAGTCCAAGTTCAAGTTAATTACCATGGTCTACAGATGTGGATCCAAAATTTTGAAAAAGGGGGAGCCCCAAGCTAGACAACCTTAAGAGAGTTAGTCAGGTAAAAAGTCTATGCAATAACCATATATGTAGCTCCATAAAGGGAGGCCCATGCCCCCAACCCAATAATCCACCTCTGATCTATTCTATTGTTATGATTGTCCAAAAACAGTATTTAGCATGGTGTGAGCTGGTTTAAAGATATTAAGGCTGCTTCTTTAAACAGCTGTACAACATTTTTCATATCTTCAGTACATTCAGACAGCAAAATCACTTTTATCATACTGAGAAATGCTTAAAGTCTTACAAGAAAGAGGTACCCTTGGGATAATCTTTAAGAATTTCTCTTTTTTTAAAGGAAAAAGACATTTCTAACGTTCTTTTTCAAATCATCGTTCTTTTTCAAATCATCGGCAATGCTGTCTAATTTGTTTATCACATGCCATAATGAAAACCCGTAAAATGATTAATGGAAGTGCATTAAGAGTGATTCTAGTGGCAGCTTATGATTGAAAGAAAACATAAAAGACAAGTAAAGAAGTTTGTTGTAAACCTAATTTCAGTTAATCAATAAGATTTATTTCTTTGCACTTCAAATTACGTAACACAGAAGCCAGAGAAGGAGAGATTTCCACGTTTGAAGTGGACTGGATGAGATCAACTTCCTGTACATCTAGGTAAATTAATTTATAAACAACTGTCATGATCAAGTTTCTGTGTATGCATCTCCTTCATGTAGAGTGCACCAAGGCCAAATTATTAAATTATCACAGGTGTAAACTTTACCATAGAACTACAGACTATCTGATAACATACATGCAGTATGAACATGATGAATATAATCAACCAACTGCATATGTTTTAAGATTCAAAAGAGAGTACTGGGAACACCCTTTTGCCTGATTAGTGTACTTGTGTTAAATCATTACAAGTGGGAAAATCCCTTATTATTGTGCTACATGTGAAGCCCTTGAAAAGTTATCTTGCTTAAAAATAATTTTCTGAATTCCTTAAACCAATAATAAGGAAAATATTCAGTTCAATATTGAAATAATAAAATTTGTACTTTGTTATGGAATATACAAATCTTGATTAAATTGAGATTGATTAGTAAGGTTTACAGGTTGCATCTTAATCATCCAAATTTTTAGTGATTGCTTATAAAATTTAGAATCGGTGATCATACACTACCAATTTAAATTGGCAGATATAGAAAATGTCCATGAGAAATATGATTATGCATTATTTGTAAAAATGAAATTGATGATGGATGTCATTTCTTTCTGTCCTGTGATTTAACTAAGAATATTAGTGAACAATTATCTAAATATTCTATTACTGTAGAAAAACTTTTTGACATCTTAACAAAAATCAATCTTTTCTTTCAGACTTAAATTAACTCTTTATTACAATTTTTTAAATGTTTATAATATAATAAAGCTGTAAATTATCATGACCTACATTCTTTGAAGGCGGTCCTCTCGCTCCTTCTGTTTCTTCTCTATGTTCAAAGAATCATCTAAACCAGGGGAGGTAACTGAACCTTTTACATCTAGCCTGCACATGCAAAAAACATAACCATGCAAAAAACAACAGGTAAAACAAAGGAAATCATGCAAAATAATAAAACTATACCAGGTTATTATATCTATAACATATTAATATACTCATTCACTTCAATGTACATTGGGGTTGGTTTTATGTAGGTAATATTTAACAGTAAAATTTATCTTCAAAAATCTTAAAAGTTTTTATCATATTTCTCTTTGTTCTATAAACATACATGACATATTCAGTATCTCGTGTTTATAAATATATCCAGTATTTCGTGTTTATAAACACATCCAGTATTGTGTTTGTTTCTGATTATGTCAACTGAAGCCTGTTGTCAATTTTCAAAAGAAAAAAAAAATAATTTCAATATTTATGAAGTGACTTACAGGGATGTATGAACATATATGCGGCCTATGAAAAAAAACATTGTATTTGGTGAGGTGACATGTGGAGCCCAATACATTTTGTTCATTAAACCTATATACAGTCCTGTATACCTCTGTAATTCACTTTAGAATTATTTTTTTCTCACTGATGGCTCTTTGGTTCTATACTGACATAGATGTAGGACATATACATGTATTGTCAACAAAACTTCTTTTACTTGAATAATTCACACTATGCAACTCTTTACTCTTCTACAAGTTGATCCTTGTATATAATCACAAGTTGGACATGTTTACATGTTCATATTCTCTGTAATCTTTTGACATGTATGACATTTCTTAAAACAAAATTTGATTGTGAGGTGTACATGGCTCTCTGGCAGGGTTCAATAATTTAATGGTTCATTGGTCAATGTTAAGTTTTCATGGTTATAATGTCTGTTTCTCATATTTTTTTCTCTGTGGTTTCAGATCTTAAAATTCAATTATTTTACATTTCAGATTCCCAATACATAGACCTTCAATATCATTGAAAAGACATGCACCACAATGGTGCATAAAACCTGCACCTGATTCAGATCATTAATATTCACTAGTCTTTAAACAACTACTTCTTAAAATAAAGCAAAAGATAACAGATATATGACCTTACAATGAGGATCACTGGATTTATACAAATATACTTGATGTTTTATGCAATAGTCTATTTTCATGTTACCGACTTTTGACTCCGAGGTTTATACTTTTTCAACAGGTTACCTACTCTGTGGTAGGACATCCTGGTACTCGGTCATGAAAGAGCTACTTAATGAAGTAAAATCAAGCTTACAATAGGTACAATTTGGGGGAGAAATTAACTGTTTCATGTTTTTTATTCATGACAAACAGTAAACTACCCCCAAAATTGCACAAAATCATCGGAAAAACAGTAAACTTTCCCCAAAATTGCACAAACTCATCGGAAAACAGTAAACTTCCCCAAAAATTGCAAAAACTTATCGGAAAAACAGTAAACTTTCCCCAAAATTGCATCGGTTATATGTTTGATTTTACTTCTTTTGGTTTCTTGGATCATTATTTCTTTATCCTAGGGTTCTAAAACATACAATTACACTGGGTCCTTAATATTGATAGACGGTTTAGAGTTTTAGTGTTTTATACTAAACATTATGAAGTTAAGAAATATATAGAACAGACAGCAGCCTTTTTCACATGAGGTGCTAATACAACACCCAACTTATGTTTATTGTGATGTTAAAATGAATCAAACGTCAGAAAAGTTTCATTAACAACAGGAAAAAGTACAGTTCTTTGTCTAACTATTTTTCTGTATTTGTTTGAGAATGTTGTCCTATCCACTATGCTTTCTTAAAAGTGGAAAAAAACAATTTTGTCAATAGCAAAAAAAAAACACAGAGCATTGCTTAGACATACATTAAAGATGATAATTTCTAATCAATGAGTTAAAAAAAGCATTTTTAATACTTGAATCACAAGATTTTTGAATATTAGAATTTTCTTTGCTATTGCATATGCATGACTTAGTATTAATTTTCTAACTGCAACATAAAATTTAGGTTTTTTTTTCAACTTATATTATCTAAAGGAAAATATTTTAATGACGTTACTTTTTGACTGTGCCAGTGTGGACCATATATTAACATGAAACTAAGATGCTGAGATGAGTATACACCAGAAAGTTATAAATATTGTATATCAAGCCGAAATATACAAATCTCTGACAGTAGGAAGATGCCTTATAAATGTGTATTGCTCTATCAATCAACAGAATACACTAATACAGCAAGAATGTTATGCAATGCAAAAGTCAAGGTTATTTGAAAATAGAAACAAATTCTAAATTTGAAATTTACCAGATTAATAAAATGCTGATATAAGAGTTCTTAGCATTTGAATGGGAATCAAAAATAGAAACTTAATTATTCAAAATTTTTGTTGCACAACAAGCTTTCTTTTAAGACTTATACGTCTGCAAAAACCAAGTATTCAATTTGCTTTCATTTATAATAAAACTATATTTCAATGGTAATTAAGTCCGGCCTAAAATGGTTGAGTCTCTAAAACAATTGATTTTTATGTAGTTTGAATGTACCTGAAATCCAAACAAACTTTGGACTGAGCCAATATCTTTGATGCAAAACTTGCTCATAAAGCATATTTAATAAATTTTATATCTTGCTAAATTATCATTAAGTACCGGTAATTATAATGCAAAAAGCCTACCTTAATCCAGATCGGATGCGAAACTGAGAAACAACGATATCTTACTTATTGTTCATTTATTCCCCCTTTTAACTAATTAATTATGACAACAAACACAACTAATAAATCTCAGAAATGAGGAGAGACAAGGAGAAGAACTTATAAACAAAGTTGTGTAACTTGAAGTATAATTCAAATTCATCAAAGACCTAGATTCTTATATGTTTTTTATCCTAGTAAATTGAAAACTAATTTAAATTCTATTTTTGTCTTGCTTATCATTAATATTTCTGGTGAAATTTTCCTTTTTGAACCCCTGAGATACAAAATGTAAATTGTGCATTTCCTATTACAGGTATCTAACTTGTCAAAAGGTATTGTGTCTCGAGTTTTGATTGGCTAATCCTACTGTTGACAAGGATACAACATCTGTCAAGGCAGCACTGTTTGAGGCCATCTGATTGGCTGTTTAGTGAAATGACAAGGTTACAGCTAACTCAAAACATTTCTTGTATATTTTTTACATAAAAAAGGTGCCAAAGCATTTGCATTTAGCATTATATTGTTTTGTCTGACAACAAACTTCTCTACACACTGCATTAATTTTTGTGTTTGACACAAGTTCAAATGTATTTCTATTTTAACTTTGAGGCCAACTCTACAAGTGCCAGTCATTTATGTATACATGTATACTGTATCATACTTAATCCTACCATCATTTAAACCTGAACAAAAAGATTATTTCATATTAATTGCAATAAAACACATATTCATGTTATTGGCAAGAGGACAAAACATATCTGATCAATAAAATAATGTGACTTTTGTACATTTTCATCTTCCAATCATCTTTTTGGAGGATGAACATAGAGCAATGGGACACTGAGGAAAAGGGAAGGTAGGAAAGAGAAAGGAGGTGGTAGAAATAAGAAAGGTGAAAGAAGGAATTGGAAGAGAAAAACAAAACTTTTCCCTGTCTGATCCCTGTTTTAACTCATTCGCCCCCAAGAGATTTCTGGAAAATCAGGCATTTTCGAAAATTTGCAATCATATGCAAATTAGCAGACTCTTGATGCTCATCTATTAAACTATGTATTGAGATTTGGGGGCAGATGGCATGGGTGGGGGGTGGGGTGGGAGGTGGAATATTTTCTCGTGGGTTTGAACCAACCCCCACTGAAAAATGTTAATTTTCTGTCTATTTTCCAATTTTAAAACAACCTTGAGAGGCGAACATTGACCAGACTGTTTTTCTTTGTCATTCAAGTATTACCCTATAGTTACAGCAGTCCATTCATGCTAACTGGGAGTATATTGGACTTAAGTGTCTTGCTGGGGAATTATTATTGTCAAGTCAGGTCTACCTAAATGTCTGTTTTTACGGATTTTTGACAAAACGGTGACCTAGATTTTACAGACTAGATTCCTAATGGCCATATTATACCTCGTTGTGTTCCTTTACCACCTATGCATGCATTTATGATAATAGTTTATACCTACAGTCACTACCAGTTACGTAGTGGCCATCAAAAGATGCCCACCCCCACCTGATTTTGGCTACTTTTCACGTTTTTCCTTTTTCGAACTCTTAAACGGCTTTCAAAGTGCCATATTTACATGAACAGACATCTGAGAAGAGTTTATGGACCATGAACTGCTTGGTTGAAGTCCCTGCTATCATGACAGTTCAGCTGGGGCAGTTCAAAAAAGGTATGGAGGGTCATACGGGCCATCAAAGAATGGTTGTCGCCATCACGCCTACAGGCGGGATTGGGGGTTAAAGGGTTAAGTATGTATGTAAGGTGAGTTTACCCAAATTGCACCTATTTTGACGTTTTTTTCACCTCCATTTATTTAATATCCAGACAAAAGTTTCCATTCTGTGTTTATTTTGTAGATGTATCCTTATTTACTATATAGTTCCACCAATTTAATTTTGATTCCATATTGAATCATAAAAAAATGGGTTTGAACCGACCTCCAAATGATCCATGATTCTGTAATAAGGAGTACTCAAACTGCATCCATGCTTAAATTCACATCCGTAATAATGGAATATCCGATGTTAAGTTTTATTTCTCCAAATATTTAGAACAATTTGACAATAGTCAATGCTTACTATTCATTTTTTAAGAAAATTTATGAATTGCTCATTTTCAAAAGTTGACTTTTTGTGGATGTCGCATGGCGACGACAACTTTCTGTAGATTTTTACTTTTTCCAGTGAATACTTATCTGTTGATATATACTGTGAACTTTTTGTGTATAAATAAATAAATTTGGCTATGTTGAAAGACGTGCATAATGTCAAATCATAAAAATACAAATTGTTAGTCTCTAAGAAAACTTGAAAGATTTCAGCTGCTATTTTTGCTAAATGGGTGCAATTTGGGTACTGTGATGTTAATGCTTTCTAATTCCATCAGACTAGTTTGCCTCTTTATATTAAAAAAAATAAATCCCCTACAACGATTGTTACAAATTTATGGTTTTGAAATAGAACAGGTAACAATTTTAAACTGATTAAGACTTGATTAATAACCTGTTCACACTACATTTTTATTATATGATTATGTGTTTATTGTGGATAACCATTAACACAGGGAAAAAAATTTGGAATGATTAAGATTTATAGCTCAGTGGTTTAAATGTTCCTAGAGGTAAGAAGGTTCATTGGATTATTTCACATTTACAATTATATCAAATTAAAAAAGCATGGTTATTTTGCAATTTGGAGAATAAATGCATATTCATCATTTGATGTAACTGATTAAATATGCAATGCTATTTTAAATGTGAGCAATAAAATCTGGTTCACCTTGAAAGGTTATGCAACTGGAAGTAAAATGCAAAATTTTGTGTGAATGGAATTAAAAATATTTATGATAATCATATCATATGTTTTGCTCTTCTGAAAATTTTCTTTTTTGTTTTTTCACTTCAAATTTTTCTCTTTTTCATTCATTAACATTTCTCATTTTAGAAATCATTCAAAATTTGGCTTCATACTAATATACCATCAAGCATTTAAAAAATGATATTGCTAATGGTTTTTCAACTTACCAAGAAGTTTTTTTATTTCCAAACCGTAGGACTCACTCGACTTGAGGTAAGCAAACTAACAATCAAATTGTAGTAAGGTGTTAAAGTCAGGTAAAAACATGGAAATTACCATAATTCTGACAAATGACAATGTTTCACCTGGACAGGTATAACAAATTGACAATTCTCGTTAAATTACTGAATTAGTTTAACATGGAGGCATACATCTGATTAAATATTTCAACAAAACTCCTACATTAGTTTATATATGGAAGAATTTCTAACTTTAAAATTAAAGGGCTGAAAGTCCACATATCCAAACCATTAGAGCTCAGACATTGTAACCATTAGCAAATTATTCATTTATATATAAATAATTTTCAGCCCCCAAAATAAGTCTGCAAGCCACTTAAATATCAAGATCAACAGTCAATAAGAAATATCATGACATTCATGTCCTAGTAACAGTAAATTGGAAATATCAGGACTACCTTGTTCTAGAAAGTAGGAAGAGTCAACATGAGATATCAAGCCTGTCACGTCCTAGTAACAGTCAAAAGAAGATCTCATGACTGTTATGTCCATGAAACAGTCAATATGAAATATCATGACTGGCATGTCCAAGTTACAGTCAGTATGAGATATAATGACTGTAGCCTCAATACAATAGTTAACATGGTTAATAGGAACAATCATGACTGTTATGTGCAAGTAAGTCAATAGGAAATATATAATGACTGTCATGTCCATAAGAAACATCATGACAGTCATGTCAAAGTAACAGTCAGTAAATATAATGACTGTCATGTTCAAGTAGCAGTCAATAGGAAATATCATGACTGTTGGTTATTTTTCTCCTCTAATCATGTGTGTTGAAAGAATTATACAAATGTTTTTAAAATATTTCCTTGTTTGTGAAGTTGAACGAGAGTTGACCCTTTTTTTTAATGTTTTTTATAATAATATCAATTATCTAATTGTGAGGACCTTGTATCAAAATATACCATACAAAACAGGCTTCTGTTAACAATGGAAGTTAGCACATTCCTTCTGTTGACAATGGAAGTTAGCACATTCCTTCTGTTGACAATGGAAGTTACCACATTCAGATAAAACTTTTGATTCAAATATTTTTTCTTATTATTTTCATTGAGGAAAATTTTAAAAGACTTACCGGTAACTTTTTACATGCTGCATGTGATATGTTTTTAAATGTTTTTAAAATTACATTTATCACAGAAAAGTCCATTTCTATGTAAGTTCAAGAAACCTATTACAACAACTATTAGTGGGTCATAAAATTATATTTAAACCAACTACAGGTATAGGAGGAGGGGGAACTACAGCATACAACAACAAAATCATGTGACTTACTCTTCTTCTTGTTGACGTCTACGACGACGGGCCTCACGTCTTTCTTCTAAAGAGCTCATGATGATATGTATGCGATAAAACTATAATCCACTAAAAACGAAAAATTTCCTGCAAGAAAAAAATGACAGAATAAATCACAAACATTGGAACAACAAGCAAAAGGTATAAAAATAAGGAGATGTGGTATGATTGCCAATGAGACAACTGTCCACCAAAGGTAAATGAAGTAGTTGAAGAATTTACTGTGGATTCACTATTATTCATGGGATACCAATTTTCCTGAATTTCCTGTGGACAGGTGAACCAAGAATTCTCAAGTTCAACCAAGTACAAATTTTCTAAAGGCTTGTATGCAAACTTTTTTAAAATCAAATATTCACGAAATGCATTTTTCCGTTATCTACGAAAATTGGTACCCATGAAATCAAATGAATCCACTGTAGTTTGTACTCCGTAACTTTATAAAAATCCCTTGATAGGCATGCACACAACAAAAAATATAAACAAAACAATGGTAGTTCCTGCTAAGTTTTTTAAATTGAGCACTAGCTTAAATCTGAATGTCTAATATGGCCATTTTATCAATTTTTATGCAAGTTTACACCTCAAGAAACTGCAACTGCATACATGATAAAAACAGCCTTGTTGACTTCTTTCTTTTTTTTAAGACCTGAAGGCTTTGATTACCGGTAAGTAAGTTTGCAGTTGTTTAATGTTATATCTGAACTTTGTTTGTTATTTGGAGAATTCACCAGGGTTTGAATGGAAGATCTTTTATTGTGTCTGTTAATACCTTTAATAGACTTGGAAAGATTTAGAGCTTGCTTTCTCATTGAGGTATATTTTATTCCTAATTACCTCAATGAGACATGAACACTAATGTTTATGTCATGTATGTCATGCATTTTACATAATCAAATTAAATATATCTATTTATGGATAACAGAAGATGTAGATATGTGACCTGTCCAAAAGTGTCACATAGTATTGCATCAAAAATGTTAAACATGTCTTAGCATAAACAGCTCTGTTTTTTATATTGTTGTTTGTTGTTGAGATTAAAAAAAAAAAAACATGACAAAAATATGTTATGAACAAATTGAAAGAAGAATTGATGTAAACTCTTTAGAGCGTGAACCCCCCCCCTCCAAATAAAAAAAAGGGTGCACATGCTGAAATGTCTCGCCTTCTTTACTAATCATTGATATTATGTTGATAGTCCTACATATAAAGCTTTATTACAAGTGTCACATAACCTTAACATTAACCAAGAAAACTAAACATTGACCAATGAACCATGAAAATGAGGTCAAGGTCAGATGAACCGTGCCAGGCAGACATGTACAGTTAACAATTCTGCCAATAAACAAATATAGTTGACCTATTGCTTATAGTTTAAGAAAAACAGACCAAAACACAAAAACTTAACACTGAGCAATGAACCGTGAAAATGAGGTCAAGGTCATATAAAACCTGCGCGACTGACATATAGATCATAAAATAATTCCATACACCAAATATAGTTGACCTATTGCATATAGTATTAGAAAAAAAGACCAAAACTCAAAAACTTAACTTTGATCACTGAACCATGAAAACCAGGTCAAGGTCAGATGACACCTCCCAGCTAGACATGTACACCTTACAATCATTCCATACACCAAATATAGTAGACCTATTGCATACAGTATAAGAAAAACAGACCAAAACACAAAAACTTAACTATAACCACTGAACCATGAAAATGAGGTCAAGGTCAGATGACACCTGCCAGTTGGACATGTACACCTTACAGTCCTTCCATACACCGAATATACTAGACCTATTGCTTATAGTATCTGAGATATGGACTTGACCACCAAAACTTAACCTTGTTCACTGATCCATGAATTGAGGTCAAGGTCAAGTGAAAACTGTCTGACGGGCATGAGGACCTTGCAAGGTACGAACATACCAAATATAGTTATCCTACTACTTATAATAAGAGAGAATTTAACATTATAAAAAATGTTAACTTTTTTTTCAAGTAGTCACTGAACCATGAAAATGAGGTCAAGGACATTGGACATGTGACTGACGGAAACTTCGTAACATGAGGCATCCATATACAAAGTATGAAGCATCCAGGTCTTCCACCTTCTAAAATATAAAGCTTTTAAGAAGTTAGCTAACGCCGCCGCCGCCGTAGCCGCCGCCCCCACTGCCGGATCACTATCCCTATGTCGAGCTTTCTGCGACAAAAGTCGCAAGCTCGACAAAAACCACAACAACTTGCAACCAAAACATATTTTTCAAAGGCTAGAAATACATAACATTGTACAACATTGTGCAAACTGCCAAAAAAAATGCTGGTAATCTTAAGTCAAACAAATTCTTTTAACAAATGGGTGGCAGAGTATAAGGATGGTTTATGGGTGGCAGAGTATAAGGATGGTTTTTTTAATATACTTTGAGGTTAGGTCTATTTCGCTCCCTGTTCTTTGGCATATATTCCATTGATTAAAATATAATGTTGATTTTTCTTCTACAGCATTCATATTTTCCACTACCTTTTGTTTATATTAAATACTTTTTGGTATACTGAATTGTTGTCATAGTAATCAAATGAATTTGTAAGAATGATTGTTGACTGACATTTAGTTGTTATGTACATTGTTAAGGCAAATAAAAATGATAAGACTTAACAGATGAGATATCAGTCAAAGTATTTATCAAAGAAGTGCAGGTTTTATGTCTTGTCAGTTCTAAAAGAGAATATTGGTAGTTATTTACATCGTTACTATAGAGTACTTAATTATTCCTGAGGAGTACTGATCTCTAATAAACAAGGAAGATAATTGAAGAAGCACACTCTATAACATTATACTATCTAAATGCTTGACTGATTATAAGTTGTATATTCTTTATCACTCATCAAAGGAATCTATTGAGATAATACTTTTATCATAATCTGAGGGTGGGGAATCTCTCAGTGTTTCCCCTTTGGAATTTCATCAGTTGCTTTTGTACTCTGCTCCTTGTGAGCCGAAAAATAAATATCTTCTTCAAAACCATTCATTTTAAATAAATGTCATTTTCAAAGATTTAATTATGCTTCCTACTCTTGTTTTTTGACTTTTTGTCAGATATTCGGAATCTTCTAATTTTATCCATGTAAAGACAATAAAAAATTTCATAATTTTATTACATATAGTTTAAAATGCCATTTTTAAAAATCTTATAAAATCCTTTTTAAATTTTCATATCTTTTGAAAGAAAAAAAGGTGCTAATGTTAAAAGTATGAAAAATCTAGAGAGAAACCTTTCCAGCCAAATTTTCAGTTGATTTTATCTCAAAAACAAGGACACATCTGACCTTTCATTTTTTTCTGCTTTTTAAGTTCTATATGAAATCCACAAGAATCAATTTGGGATATGATGACAATTGAAATTAAAATGTTTTTTTTTCTAAAAAAGAGCCTGGGAATTTTAACAAATTTAGTAAACACTAGCATTTCAAAAAAATTTCAAATGCCATGCAAAATTCTTAAGTTTTACAAATTAAATGCAAGGACTTTTCACTCTTAATATGAAAAATATGAAGAAGTAATTTGCTGATTTTCTATTTTAATTTTTTTTTCCTTTTGTTTTAATTCAGCTTGATACAGCTTACAAAAGAGTCACATTACCAGTGAAGAAAAAAACCCAGACAGACTTTCCAAGGCAAGAAAAAAAGGGAAAGAGTTGTATTCAATAACAAGATACACATTATCTAACCACACAAAATAAATAAAGAACAGAAACTAATGATGTGTCACAATTATTACTCAGAACTTCATTAGTTACAAATGTCTGTTAATTAGATACAGATGGTAATAATATCTAATAAACCACTGATCCTTGTGTGATATTACTGGTGCCCTGCTGGTCCTGATTATCTACTGATTATCAATACAAATCATTTATGTAAATAAACATGTAGATGAGGTTACCCTGTTTTTTTATTTTCCAATGAGACACATAAACATACATGTCTGGGCATGATAATGCCTAGAAAAATCTATTCACACTTTCATTCCCATAAGTTTTGTTTTTTCTATAACTTTCCTTATCAAAAGGGAGATAACTCAAGATTTGTTGAATATGTTTTTTGTGTATATCTTTACTTCTAATTTTATACAAAAAAGTATTTTACTATGATCAATTTGACCCACGGTGTATCACATATCATTGTGCACAGTTCTGACAAAAAAATGGAATAAAGACTATACAAAAACACAATTCTCAAGAATATAAAGCTAAGAATGAACTTCTCATCATTCTAACATGTCTAAAGCATTATCATAAATATTTTTGTTTAACCTAACAATTTCTCTATTGCACATTTGCTGTAACATTTTACTTAGCATACAATTTTAACTTAGTATCCTTTTGGTTAATTTACCAAAATGTCAAGGCAAGAACTATGGTTACATATAAAATATATTGGGTAAGTATTTGTAAATAAGTTTTATGACTCAACTACATCCATGTTTTCAAAAAAATGATAATGAATACACACACAGATTGCTTTAAATGATTTAATTATTTCCAGAATCAACTCCTAAAATCCATATCTTCTGTGTTCTATTTAAATCTCAAATATTAAAGGTTTCATTCATATCAATAATTCCTCATCCCCTAGTTTGTCATGATTAATGTGGCCAGAATGGGTACAAATGAAACACCCTTTAATGAAATTTTGAAGAGCAATCCCTTTTTATCAGTCATAACATGAATATGGCTTTCAGCATATTAAATTGTATACATGTAAACAATCAAAGTAAAATTTCATAGCATGACAGATGAAAAAGTCTCCCTTGACAGAAAAATTATATTCATGAAAAAATTAAAAGGTAATCTTCCCAAAATAAAAAAAAAACAAGGATTACCTTCATTTCTTCAAGTGATGACAACAACAGCAAAATACCAAATGATGCATTTCAAAACATTATGTAACTTACAATTAAATGTTGTTTTATCTTATGCCAAGAAAAAAACCTCTCTAAAGACATTTGTTAATCAGACAATAAACAAAAAATACTATACATAACTTCCGCTGAGATGAGTAGTGCATCAAATATGTCGGAATGTAAATTTTGCCGGCCGGCATCTTAAAATCACATACACAGAGAGTGTTAACTATATATTTTTTTTAATTAGTAGAAATTTATTTGTTAATTTCATAAATCATTTTACTAAAATTCAATAGTTCTAAGAACTATTCCACTTACCTGCAATGCAGGATTGACTATATATCCTAAACTTTTTTTACAAAAATTTCAAGAGGAGAAACGTTGACCTTCAAAGAGAGGCTACAGTCTGTTCCAGATGTGTAAATGCACTCCACACTAGTGATAGAGAAAAGATTGTATTTAATGCTTTACTGTTTGATTAACCAATAGATTCCATATGTGGGGGTCACCATGGGATGCAATTTATGGCATTTTAAACATGACTGATGATTTTATGTGAATTTTTCTGACATGAAACACAATGAAGTTAATTAAATATATTTTTTTTTTATATTTGAATTCTTTTTAGTTTTCTTCAAATTCTTGAAATAATTAAAAATATAAGGATTTAATTTCATGTCTACTTTTGAATTTTATATATTTCTGACCCCCTTTACAAGAGACCCCTTCTTGATAATGAAACTGGATATAGTCTAAGTGATCCTTATCTTGTAGTAATATTATGTAAACTCCCCCACAATGTCCATAATTGGATCCAAATCAAAAACCTATCAGTAAAAAATACTTATTCATATCAATACTCAGTATCAATATTACATAAAACCTATCTCGTTAAAATCATTATGTTCTTCTTAAGGGCCATTAAATAAATGTAAAGTTTTATAAATAATAGAAATTATGGGAAAATAGATAATAAATATATGTAATGTTTAAAATAAATAATGTATAATGGTTAGAAAGGAAACTATTTTAAGTAATTTCAATTCTTAGGACAAATATATTCAAGATTTATTGTGATTTGTTAAAGATGTTGTTTAAGTCTGTGCTTTAATTACATGGAATACATACTCTAGAACTTTTCAAATGTTCTAGCTTTTTACGTTTAGTCTAACTGGTAGATTAGAAACTAATCCTGCATATATATATGCAAATTGTCATTTAAACTCCTTTTTTGGCTGTGTTTATTTGAAAGGCTTTGTCCTTTCACAATAATATTTGGCTAAAATGTTTGAATTCACATCTTCAAACAAATCAACCGGTAATTTTTTTAAAGCCCATTGCAAGTGGTTGTTAGTATGACCAAAGCAAGTGCAGCATAATAAAAAAATATTCTTATCGTCCAATTCCAGAGAAGCTAGGAAAAAGACTTTCAAATAAGTACAGAAATATGATATAACTAGAAATGTTTGGTTACCGTCTTATTGTCAATTACAAAACATCTCCATTTGGTCATATTTGATCAAACTGCCAAATATATATTACAGGGAAAATTCATAGAAATATGGAAGTAAAGGGGCGCATTACATTTGCGTGCATTCATTTTCACAGGTACAAATAAAGATAATTCATAATATTATTATGAATTTTGAACCTACTTGTAAATTTAAATAATATGCTTTTCATATTGAATTAAAAAAAATTTTATAAAGTTGTCATGAGAAATCCTGTAAACACAAGAGTTTCGTCTGTCTGAAAAAAGTTGGAGGAAAATTTCATTAGTGTACGATGGATATACTTTCTGTATCAACAGAACACTAAAGTCTGAGGGTATTTCATGATGATGCACCGTTAATAATTGCAACGGTATTTCAGCAGATTCCCTATTTTATCCAAGTCTTTGGGGATCATTACCATCAGCAGAATCCAGGCCTACTACAAACAGCCCGGAATCATTTCATGCTCACTACAATGAGCAATTTTATTCAGCACATCAATGTACTAATAGTATTTTTGTGTTTTCTTAAAGCAATGGGCTTCATATATTCAGAACGTTACGACATGTAAAATCAATGCTTTTAATCTTTAGATTTGCTTCGTTAATATATTTATATCAGGATATATTTCCAGGACTAAGTGCTTGTGCATAATAAAACGGACTAATCTCGCTCGAAAATAATAGTTAAATAAATAAATAAGTATAATCTACCTGTATTTACCTGTAAAAGAATGCCCGCAAATGTAATAAGCTGCACGCAATTGTAATGATTTTTGCGCGCAAATGTAATGCACCGAAGGAAAGTTAAGATGAAAATTGATTGGCTAATTAGCTATCTAAAAACCGTCCTTGTCTTGTTAAAATGGATAAAATGAATAAAAAGAATAGACAAAAACATAAAGCATAAATACTGCGGATTAATTTATTTTCATGGATACCAATTTTACAGGATTGAGGAAATTTTGCATTTTCTTGGATATTTAATTTTGTGGTTTTGCCAAGGTCTGAATACAAGCCTATTGCAATGTGTACTTTGTTGAACATTTAAATTCATGGTTTTCCTATACTCACAAAATCTTTGAATAAAATGCTCCACTGGGCGCAGCTTGATACGACCACAGAGGTCGAACCCTGAACAGTTGGGGCAAGTATGGACACAACATTCAAGCTTGATACAGCACTGAATTTGGATTGTGATTAAATATTTGACACAGCATAGGTTTCTGACACAGAATGAATGTGGTCTAAGAACTTAAAATTTTTTAATTTACCTATTCAAACCATATCATTATTATTTGCTTTTATATATAAATCAGAAATAACCAATTTAAAATGGAAATTTTAAAGAAAAAAAAAAGGAAAAAAAGGAAAAAAAAATCCCTCCCCCAAATTTTTTGAACCCCCTTATGATTCATCACCCCAAACTCAATCCCAGCCTTCCCTTTGTGGTATGGTACCTTGCAGTACAATTTCAGAGAGATCCATACACTTGAACACAAGTTATTGTCTGGAAACTAGAAAAATGCTAGTTTTTAGGCCCCTTTTTGGCCCCAAATTCCTAAACGTTTTGGGCAATTACCCCCAAACTCAAACCCAGCTTTCCCTTTCTGATATGGAACCTTGTAGTACAATTTTATAAAGATCCATACACTTACACACAAGCTATTGTCCTGAAACTAGAAAAATGCTTGTTTTTTGCCCCTTTTTTGTCCCTAATTCCTAAAATTTTGAGGAAATTACCCCCAAAATCAATCCCAGCCTACCCTTTGTGGTATGGTACCTTGCAGTACAATTTTAGAGAGATCCATACACTTGAACACAAGTTATTGTCTGGAAACTAGAAAAATGCTTATTTTTGGCCCCTTCTTCCTAAATTTTGGGCAATTACCCCAAAACTCAATTCCAGCTTTCCCTTTGTGATATGGAACCTTGTAGTACAATTTCAAAAAGATCCATACACTTACACACAAGTTATTGTCATGAAACTAGAAAAATGCTTGTTTTTTGCCCCTAATTCCTAAAATTTTGAGGCAATTACCCCCAAAATCAACCCCGGCATTCCCTTTGTGATATGGAATCTTGTGGTACAATGTCAGAGAGATCCATACACTAACACACAAGTTATGTCTGGAAGTTACAAAAATGCTTATTTTTGGCCCCTAATTCCTTAACTGTTAGTACCATAACCCCCAAAATCAATCCCAACCTTCCTTTTGTGGTATTGAACCTTATGGTAAAATTTCATAGAGATCCATTCACTTAAACTAAAGTTTGAGTGCGAAAACCAATGTGTCTTCAGATGATGATGACGACGACGACGCCAACGTCATACCAATATACGACTGCAAAATTTGTTTGCGGTCGTATAAAAATAAGAATCCCATGAGTAATGATGACTCCCCAGTTCTTCTTTCTCATTATCCCTGAAACAGCTGTGTTTTTGATGCAATTGTACAAATGTCAAAATTTTTTACAATTAAAATTCTAAAAAGTCTTGCCTAATACCTGAAAATCTTCAAAATCAAATGTGAGTTTCATTTTCCCAATTTCAAAAAAAATGGAGGCATGGTGTGTTAAGTATAATCCTACTCAATTCCAAAAAGGGCTCAAACTTTATAACTTATCACAGTCAAGCTGCTGATCAAAAACTATGTCATTCATTAGAAAAGTGTGACAAAAATATGTGTTGGATGAACAGGCAAATAAACAGCCCCCACACCTAGAGTGGGAGTATGAAAAATGGGCATACAAATTATGATAATTCATAAAAACAATTTTGAGCTACATTACAACATATAAATATTTCATTTTTGTTTACATGTATCTTATATCCAAGTAGCCTGTTATTCTTGATGTAAAGTCCAAAAATTTCTAGAAAGATAATTTAAAACAGCTGGACCAATTAAGAGCCCATGAATCGATAATGCTTGTCTGGTAAATATTGAAATTGTTTCAAAATAAAATGGAATATTAAGAAGGCATCTAAATCAGAAGATAGTATATTGGCTGTACATAAAACATTTCATGAGGTTATCCTTAATTAATTAGTTGTATAGCTATCAGGTTTAATATGGACAAACCAGCAAATATTCTTACTGAAAAGGCTCTACATATATTAATCCCAACAATAGTGTTACGTTTGTAGTAATTTGAATCAAGCATAGACTAGAACTAGTGTGTGACATATAAAAATGTGCCTTCATCTGAATAACACGATAAAATTGAAAAATGTTCAAATTCAAAGGGTATCCAGTAATTATGTAAAGTTTTAGTAAATCAATCAAATCATACTCCAGTTATGGTACAACATGTGAACAATTTACTGAAATCTAACAGTTAAAGTCCCATATCTCTGTAATGACAAACCAGAAGATTTTCAAAATCGAACGAGCTTCCAGTTATCAATCTCCACACTAGTGAAAAATTACCTTAAATCTGATGGTTAAAGTCCTATTACTCTGGATGACACAACAAGGGAGCTTCCAAGACTTAAGAAAAGGTTTTAATCTTTAACATTTCATACATCATACATCTATACGAAACACTTTTTTTCAAGATTTTAAAATATCTTAGTACATGTAGTACAAAAAGGGCACTTGAAATTGCTTTTACAATGTAAAGGCCATTAAAGTTCATTAAAACCTTTTTGTAAGTACTACATTTTGTATAAGAAGAAAAACAAAATCGGAGTCCTCATACTCAGCCTCAATTCCTGGGATATTACTCTGTAAATACTGCACAACAACATACTTTTCTCATTTGCAACAAGAATTAAAAATTATCTTAGACATAGAATTTAAGACAGACAAACAGCTTATAATTCGGTCAAACAACCCAATTCAGAACAAAATAATGCAGCCCCATACATATAGCTTCCAATTCCATCATCTTTATCATTAATTAGGGTTGACAAAGTAAAATTAAGATTACATAACTTTTAAACTAAAGTCTAACATAATATC